AATAAAGTTATAATTGTTGCTTATTCTCCTCGCTATTCTTGCCCATATTATTGAATGATCTCGGATCGAACGATCCTCAAAAACATCATGGTACAAGCGCCGGTATCTAATTAGTATAAATAAAGTTACCATTTTAACTTTCCATTTTTTTTTTATTGTAAGATTTATCAGTTATACAAATTTACCTAATTAATGCCCTGGTGGCATCGAACGGCCAGTTGAAAAGTACGTTATTTATGTTGACGTTTAAAATATTAAGGTTGGCCATTTATTATAAATAAAAAATTGATTTATTATGATAAAAAATTGAGTTAAAAAGATTGATTTATTATGATGAAAAATTTGGTTAAAAAGATAAATAAAAAAAATTCGATAATTGCCTTATTTATGTAAAAAAATATACCACTTTTCTGCGCATAATCATAATATAATTTGATCTTAATTGTGATTATTTCTATTATTTCTGTATTACGAATCAGAGAAATAATTTTGTATACTCTTAAAAAAATCAGTTTTAAAGTAATCAATTAAATTGATATGTTTGATTGATACAGGTATTACACAATTAAATGATACAAGTATTATATCATTAAATTCATTATACAGAAAACAATTTTAAGAACTATAATATATCTAGCGTAAATAAATTAAATATTCTCCTTGCAAGTTGAGTGAACGTCACGAGAAAAAAATTTATAAATTTATTAAATCAGTCTTTGTTTAAATTTTATTTTTTTACAAATACAATTATGACTGACACTGACCGATTATCAGTGCGGTATGATACCAATGATTGTTATTTAATAATGTTAATGTATTTCGTACATGATTTGCATACAATCAATTTTAATTGTAAAGTAATTGTAAAAATTTGCGTCTGCATAATTAAATATTAATCGTGAATTAATCATCGGTAGATCTTTATTCTATATAAGGTTAATTTTGACTTTGTCTACGAGCAAAATTTAATATTGTCACTTAACAAATTTAGCAATTTATGATTTTGGTGTGATGATCAATTTTAATTATTATAAAAGGAAATTTTATTATTGTATTCTGTATGACCGTATTACCTTTATTATCGAATGTAATACAATGAAATGTTAATTTTTAAAGAAATCTATAAATTAAATTTTCTATTTAATGGTATTATTGACAAATATTTCCTTTTTCCTACGCACACACTTTTGAATTTTGTAGCTCTACATAGTATTCTATGAACAGCTATTATTGAATCACAACCTTCCTGAAAGTATTCAGCTTGCCATAGTTCGGTATTTGATATCTCTGGTTCTATGAATCTATGTTTAAACCGGATATCAGAGGAAGGTGCACTTTTATACCACTTAACATATGCTAGAAGATGTTTTCTTGGTCCTTCAGGTAATCTAAGTGTATGTTCAAAATAATATTGAACATCTCCTGGGTATATATCAACTGAATCATCATTAGACGCTTTCCATTTTGCAAGAATAGTTACATTTTTTTCTTGATGACCCGAAATCATAGATCCAAATATTTCAGCACCAATTTGTAATCTTGCGTGTTGATCAATTACCAGGTCCATAAATCCTAATATTTCATTTTGTTCTTTTTCATATAATATAGAATACCATTCACATAGAAATCTACGCAATACTAAAGGTATAATAACTTTGAAACACGAAGGATTAAGCATTTGACCTGGTAATTTCTCAGTACCATATATTTTGGAAAACGTAGATGTATTATGTCTCATGGACAAAAAGTGTTGTAACTCATCCTTTTCTGCCGTAAATGCCAAACTACCCACAGCTTGTTTTGGCATAATAAGACTAAGAGATTCTTTTAGAAGACCAGATGACCATTTATAAGATAAATGATAATCTATTAAAGTATTCTTAAGAACGATTCGCATAAGTTCAGGCTCTATTTGTCGATTACTATTAGGGTATGATCCTGGATAATAATAATAGATTTATTTGTATTCTTTATTTTTAAAAAATATTAATATAACAACAAACATCTTACCAATATATCCATTAAGTCTCTCATATGGAAAAAGCCAAAAACTATATATGGAACCATAGTCACGGCAACAGTCGGGAATATGAAGTGCAAGGTGTATGTTGCTTGTTATAAATTCTGGCCCATATGTTCTTTCTATAAGGTGAGCCATGTCTTTCAACCTCTCTTGCGCTTCTCTCAGATCATCTTCTGTAATAAATCTTGCTACTAAAAGATTACATGCTCGAACAAAATGTCCTAAGATCTTTCTATTATTATTATCTAGCATGTTCCATAGTATAAGCGTGGAATAAATCATAATAAAAGTTTTTCATTGATCAGCAATTAAATTTGAAAAACCTTCATTTCTAATTGCAATTTTTGGGGGGATTCTACCGATATCAGAAGGTAATTCAATATAATCCATTCTCTTTTGTGCAATTCGAAGTTGCTCCATGCTTAACTTATTTTGATTAATGAAAATGGATTTGATTATCCATTTTGCTATACCTAGAAAAAGACAATGCATTGGATCCACTACGGCAAATCTTATGGGATCCATATATGGTAAGCGAAGCAACTCGCTCCACCTTACACCATGTTCTTTAAAATGTGTATCTCTGGAGGACTTCGAATTGCATTGCGACCATTCATGAGCATATTGCCTATGTAATGAAGGATTTATGGGATTTGTTACCCATTTATCATATTTTTGCATTCTTCCATAATGAGTTTTTTTATAAACTTCACTATAAGTACTACGCTTTTCACACCTATGACATTTCATTACTGCTGAGCCATGCCCAAATAACTTTCGTGTTGCTGGTGTATCTGATGATCCAATAATTAATGCAACTTTTATGTCTAAACCTTCAGTATATTGGTAGGTCTTTGGAACTCTCCAGCCCTTCCAGAGTTCTAAAAGCTCATCCACAATATGGGCTAAATAATGGTTAATACGTTCCAACCCTACTTCTTTCGATCCTGGCAAAAAACCTAAGTAAATAATATTTTCGGGTTTAATTCTGGATCGGGTTTGGCTTCAAAAGTGATAGGCCCTTTTTCTTCACATTGCTCAGAAAAAGATAGATCAGATACTTAGCTTTCTGGCTTTGAATTTACGAGAAGGTGACCTTCTGATAATTGCAATGGCTCAAGTCCCATTTCTCTTTTATATTTTTTGTATAAGCTGGAACAAATCTTATCCGTCAAAATGCTCGGTAACCCACTTAATTTGGCATGCCAATCCAGATATTCAGGAGTTAATATTTTATCGGACTTGGTCATGTTGCTTTTTATATGATCACAAATCAATTTAAATTAGGTAGTAGTTGACATAAATTAGCTCTAAAAAAATATCACAATGAAGCATGAGCAAATATAGGATTATATATGCAATGCGCTTCTGGCCAAAATGACTAGACTATGCAGTTATCTCAATTTACATACAATGGTGAACTTGCTAAGCGCCTGATTTTTTTATCCTCTTCTATTTGAAGTAGTTCTACTTTCATATGTTTACAAACATTTTCCATCTGTTTACCAAAGACTGCATTATTCTTTAGCTTATAATACATAACCCCAAATTCGTCCCTATTAGCTTTAGCAATTTTACGCTTGCGAATGTTTTTCTCAATATAATCTTTCATCTATGAAGACTGCCTGAACTTGAGAGTGCTATGAATCTTTGCAACTTTCATTCTGAACTTTATATATGTCTGGAGAGTTCAATAGTGAACTACATAATTTTTCTTAGTAAAAAAGATCTGAACTAACTTCTCTCCAAACATGTATTTTCCACCCCTGACTTTTTTATCATTGACTAACTTTTCATTATACAAGCTAAGCCAGTCTTCTGGAACTATCTGCTTTTTGGGTGCTAATGGGTAATCTGCAAAGAAATCATGCAAGTGCACTGGGACTTCTAGATCAACTTCTAGTGTATAGCCTATTTCTGCATTTGGCGCTATGCTTTGAATATCTGGTATTTTCTCTGGAGTTACTTTACCTAAGATTTCTGTAGGCATATATTGGATCATCGCACCTGAATATAAAGCGTTCATATCTTCATATAAGATCCAGAACTTCGGTTTACTGGATTCATAGTCTGGATATTGCAGATTATTTGCTTTGGCGTATCAATGACTTACCATTGTCATTCCACCACAAATGCCATTTTCTACCATTAGATATTCATCCATATTTGTCATGAGTTTGAGTTCTGCCCTGCTACTTTTGTAAAGAGAATCATTAAACATTTCAAGTGTTGAAACATAATGAGAGGGATCTAAGCCGTCATCTTTCAAGCACATGATAGTGTAGTTTATAAAAATATCTGCAAGTAAAAGTACATCTGTCTCAAGATAAAGATCATGATATTCTCCAAAGTTCTTTATCTCAAATATTTTTCATACCTTTTGATGAGCATGTTCATAATCCTCTTTACTAATATTTTGCTGACTAAGAAGTGAGTAGAAGTCCTTTCTAGATAAAAGGCTTATTCTGTCGAATTTTTCCTATGCATTTGTTCAGTCATATGGGAAAACGCCCTTTCAAAAAAGAAGCTTAATCTTATCTATTGAATAGTCTTTCTCAGTAAAGTACCTAACAGTTAGGGTGAATTTTTCGAGTTTTCCTTCTAGACATTTTACTAATTTATCTAATCCTATTTCCATATGCTGAAAGCTATCAAGAAATCGGAGCTGGCTAACATCCATAGCTTTGTACTTTCCTATATTCTCTGGGATGCAATTTAGCTTATCAGCCGTAAACTTGTTCACAACTTTCATAAGCGGATGAGAGTCATATTCCCAAAAATTATGACATATAAGAGGCACTTTGGTTTTGAAAGAGCCTATTCACAATTTTTTATTACAAGAGTCATAAGCTGGGCTTCAGTACTTTCCATTTATATGATCATGATCCTTTACTTTTCGATTAAATACATTTAAAGCTTCTCGATATCTTTTCTGTAACTCTTTCTTTTTAGAATGTTCTTTTTCTATGCATGTTTCCTATTCTTTGATTTCTAATAAATTATGCTTTGCTTCTTTAAGTTTTTGTACTATCTCTGGTGCTGGTTTTAAAAAAGGTCCCTTGCAAATCCAGCATTCTGTCACCTCATTGTATACTTTAAGATCTCTTAGTGCCATTATCATTTCTGCAGGCACAGATAAATCCTTCTGTATGTTTGCCAGCTCCTTCTCGATTTTTGTAACAAATCTTTCAAGCGCATCTGGACCCCTATATAAATCTTAACTTATGATTTCATAGTTGAGTGAACTATCCATACGAACAACTACATAGTAATGGCCACACAGCTTGTGCATCTGTAATCTTTCTGTGTGGGTTAACTTCATTTTCTTTTTTGAAATTAGTTTTTCAGTCAACATTTCAAGATCCTAGAAAATGCGATATGAATTTGGTTGCATGCATTTATAGTTATAAAAAGCTTTAATACTTTTATTCTTAACTGGCATTTGTGATCGCTGGGAGGTATTATTTAGACCCTTGCATTTTGGCAAATATTCATTATATTTTATCTCTGAAGAGTATATATGGAGACAATAACGGCAGAGGTATTTTCGCCCTTTATGTTTGCTATGATTGTATACTAGCTTATGTAAATCTTTAATAATACAGTAATGACTTCTTTCTTCTTTCGTACTAATTACTAGAAGATTTACTTGCTTATATTCATCTCCTCTTCTTTCTGAAACATAGCGAAATTCAAGACATTCATTCTGATTGTGCCATTCATAGACATATAGACTGATTTCAGAATTATTTTCTTCGAACTTTTTATAAACTGGTATTGAGACCGGTATTGGAATTGGGATGTCTTCCATATTAACTTCCTCCATGAAACCTCTATATAGCCGATGTGGATTTCTCTCTGTATGAACTTTTACATGATGCAAAGCTCCTAGAATACTCCACCCGAAATACCAGTCATCATTATTTTGAATATTAATTACATTTTGGCTAAGTTTCTGGCAAAGGTACACAGGTCGAAAAGTGAAAAATCAGGCACCAATCGGTCACCAATCAGGTACCTGATTGGTGACCGATTGGTGACTGATTGATGCCTGATTTTTCACTTTTCGACCTGTGGTATATAGGCAGTAAGACTAATTGGATTGAAATCAGATATCTTTATACTAAATTCTTCTATATATTCTGGATAAACATCAGATATTTGGTATATCAGTTAACTCTAATCGTCACGCTATTACATGCTTATAAAATTTTTTTTTTAATTAATTATTTCCTATTCTTTTCAGTTTCCGGTTATAGAGTTGTCACCAAAGGTGGTATTTACAGGCTTGCCAAAACGGTTTTAAGTTATTATGAAACTTAAGTATTAACTATTTATTAATTAATCTTTTGAATTTTAGTGTTAAAAAATAGGATGATTGGTGAATATTCATATTTGTATCTTTGTAATACTGGAAAGGCTTGCAATAACCCTTGCATTTACCCAGAAAGTTGCTGATTTCATTGGAAAGCTAAAAAATGGATACCATGTTCTGATTGCAGGAAACCTACAGCTTCTGCTTGTGGCTGATACCCGTTACATGTTAGAGGCTATTATGTTATTCAGTATTATGACAGGCTTTGATCAAAGATACAAGAAAGTAATGGATAGATCATTTCGGCTAGCACTTTATCTTAATTTTAACCAGAATTTTGAGCGTAATATCCAATGGGTATTTACTAAATTTTTGTTAGACTTGCTTTTTAGCTGGAGGCGCAAAGCATATTTTTTCGTTAAAGTTTTATGATTAATATACTATTTTGATGAACTAGCCTATGCTGAACCCATTCTTGACTAAGGAAAAGTTGGGACAATTCCATGGATTTTATAGAAAGATATTTGTTTTTTTGTTAGATTTAATAAATTTCCTGGCAGGACAGAATCGTTAGACTTAAATAAATAATGTATTAGATAAGGAGTTAGCCAATACGAAGCCAATTTCTGATATATATTTCTTATTAGACTTATAAAATTCCTGGCAGGGCGGAATAGTCAGACTTAAATTTTTTGTTAAATTATTATGCTATTTGATGAGCTAGCTTGTGCTGAACCCGTTCTTGACTAAAGAAAAGTTGGGACAATTCTGCAGATTTTTTAGGGAAATATTAGAGTTATTTTCATTAGATTTATTTAATCATTATAATATTTACTAAGCTATCTTGCGCAGAATCTGTTCTTGATTAAGGAAAAGTTAGGACAATTTCGCAGATTTCTTCTGGATTTTTACAGGATGATATTTTGTTAGACTTTTATATAAAATATGCTATTTAATAAGCTAGCCTGCATTAAACCCATTCTTAATTAAAGAAAAGTTGGAACAAAAATCCTGTTAGATTTATTTAACAATTATGCTATTTAATGAACTAGCTTATACAGAAGGCATTCTTGTATATAGAAATGTTCATTAGATTTAAAGTCACATGATTTTTCGTTAGACTTATTTATGGGGTAATAAGGACTGTTAAACTTATTTTATTATTTTTTGTTAGACTTAAGAAAATCGTTAGATTTATTTATGGGGTAATAAGAACAGTTAGACTTAAATTCGTTAGACTTAAGTACAGTCCAGGATTTTATTATAAATGGAATCATTTTTAAGCATTTTTGATTGGTAGTGATCTTACCATTTTTGTATATGCCAATCAAAGAATGTTGATCAGAATATTCTATGACTGACATCGCTACTTTGATCGTTCGAAATAATAAATCTTAGATAATTTTATTATTTTTTCTAATTTATTTCTGTATTTGAAAAATATTTTTTTTCGCCTAAACTACATCTATATCATCTAATTCATTATTTACACTTTGCAAATTTCATACCTCTTGTAATATGGCTAGCAATTCACTTTTTTTTTTAGATCCTATTCCATGGCACTACTTGTAAATACTAATGAAAAAACTGAACTTTTTTTGTAAAACACTTCAATAATATATTCTTGTCGTGCCTTTTTTGCCAAATTACTAAAATTTTTCAACTGGTCACTCAATTTACTCTCTCCACCTAGACTTTTAAAATCTGTTTTTGTCTCCATTAGATTAAGAAAATTAAGTTTTCTTAAATAAACACAAAATCTTTGACATTCTGTAATTGATTCAGGATAAAAGTATGATAAAGAAGGAGACATGTTGCCATACTTGTGATGGTTTGTCTTACATTTTCTCAAACCTTTTCACTCATATGTGATTACTAAATTTGTGAAAAAGGCAGCTCTTTAGCATATGATTTTTCGCACATTATCACTACAATAAAATTAAGAAAAAAGTTAAAATAAAAATAAAAAAAAATGACAATGAAACTCAAAAAAAAAATCATTTAAAATGAAATTATGTCATTTTATAGTTATTTTCACTGGTCAAAATTGATGCTATCGGGTACATATCGGGTACCTATATATCAGTGACTAATCAGATATATATCGGACATTTATTACATATCGGGTACCCAATATGTAACATATCAAATATGCCTAAAAATCGGATTCCCGATATCTAAACGATTAGTCACTGATATGTAACACTGAATCAATCTTACACATATCAGGTACCGATATGCAAAATATTTATTTATTGTATTTGTATTATATAATTCAAAGAGGTATATTAAAATTATTACTAAAAAAAGTATTTTAATATTAAAGATAATCGTTTATTCATATAAAACCCTTTATTTTCAATTTTTTTTTATTTTTTCTGATATCACGAATAACTGACGAAAATATTAAAAATATACATATTTTATTTCCCTATAAAAAAAAATTTTACTTAAAATATATTTAAAATATATTTAATTTTCTTTAAAATATACTTAATTTTCTTATTTTATACTTAAAATATACTGAAAATTGAATTTTCGTAAAATTTGAATTAAATTGTATTTAATATATACTTAAAATATATTTAATTTACATTTAAATTTTGCCTATTTCAGTATATTTTAAGGATATTTAAAATAAGAATATTTTAAGTATATTATTATATACTTAAATTATACTTAAATAATATTTAATTTTTGCCTATTTCAGTATATTTTA